AAATCTGTTAATTTAATGTGAATTTAATGCCAAGTAACTCAGTCCCTTTCTTTGATGGATGCAAACCATCTCTTTTGTACAGTTTTCCATTGGACCAGCTGCCTTCCCTTTTACACCATTCCTTTAGCCACACATTAAACTCTACTACGTGCTGGCCTTTTCCTTTTTGTTCCTTATATACAGGTAAAACCTCTGAAAAGATAAGCCTACAACCTATACTACTAAGTTCATACTCCAAGCTCTGTGTGTACTTAACCAAAAGTTTCTTGCCTAAGTGTAAGACTTTACTTTTCTCTACATTGAATCTCATTTCGCTAGTTAGGGCCCAGGGTTTAAGTCTGTCAAGATCGACCTGGATCTTGATCTTATCATCTAGGGTGTTGGCTTTTCCTGTCAGCTTAATATCATCTGAAAATTTGATGAGTTTCCCTTCTATTTCCTCATCTAAGTCACTTATGAAGATATTGAAGAGTACTGGGCCTATTCTATCTCTCTATTAATGCAGCCTATGATTGTATTGGCTTTTTTGGCTACTGCCACACACGGCTTTCTTATATTTAAATGATTGTCCACTAGGACTCCAAGATTCCTCTCACAGTTACTGCTATTGAGCCAGGTTTCACCTAATCTGTAGCTGTACATTTGGCTTTTCTTGCCTAAGTGTAGAACCTTACTTTTCTCTCCATTCAATTTCAGGTTGTTAGATAGAGCCCACTGTTTCAGTTTGTCATGGTCCATCTGGATCTTCTGGGCTATTGGCTATTCCTGCCAGCTTAGTGTCATCTGAAAATTGACTTTGACAGAATAGGAAGGACTAAGAAAAGGGCAACGAAGAGGACTCGGGGACTTGAGGACACACTTTATAAGGACAGGCTGAAGGAAACTGAAATGCTCACCCTGAAAACAGACAACTTAAAGGAGACATGATAGCCACATTCAGGTACATGAGGAGCTACAAGGAAAATGAACTATCAACAACAATTTCTATGATGTAAAAACCAGGACCAGAAACTACAGAGATGTAACAGCTGCTCCCAGATCTTGCTCCTCATTCTACTTCTCATATCTGCTCCAAATGAAGCCAGTATAGCTAGCAACTGAAAGACTGACCTGCAGTCACAATCCTGAGCTTCATCACTGAGCAGAGATATGAAAAGCACCATCAGAACTGTTAGGCCTTGCAATACACACACACGTGCACACACACACACACACACACACACACACACACACACCCTACCTGCTTGAGGATATGCACAGCCATTGTGTGGGTGCAGTCAAAGATGATCCGGAACT